CTTTGCCGTCAAGACTTTCTGAAGTCAATCTGGATACGTCCAAGGAATAGATTTGAGCCAGCCGTCTGAACCCTTTTTCTATTCAGCTTCTGCATTTCCAAATCCCAAAAATATGAAGAAAGAAGTGGGCAGTGATAATAGCTGACCAGCTGTATTGTACACTCAGCATACAAAGCTAATAGCAGCAGCACGGTGCCTCTGACAGCACTCTTTAATTTAAAAGCACTAAAACTGCCACTAAAGATGGCTGAAAAAGACAACTTCAGTCGGTCTCAATTCACATTTGTCTTTTTTTTTTTATAATACACATTTCAGTAAAATCTACGTCAATACAATGATAGTAAAAGGAAAAAAAAATAGTATATTATCCTTCCGATGTGGAGCACATCATTTAGTTCTTCTATCTTTCACTCCCTTTTTATGAACTGTAAAAAACAGACAAACCGTTAGAATGAAACAAAGACATGAAGGACTGGACTGATGCATACCCGCTGAGTATCAAAAAAAAGCTTTTTACATTTCTGTTTACAAGTCTCGTCATATTACGTTTGATTACAAAAACGAGTTTTTTCCATTTACAATCTAAGGCTGCCCATGTCTCCTGAGCTCCGAAGGGTCTGTGTGTGCGTCCGTGTCCCTTTAATCCATTGTGAGGCTTCACCAGCTCCATAGTCTGAGCCAATCAGAGAGCAGCTCTGCTCTGTGACTAGGGGGGGTGGGGGGGGTGATGTGTCCTGCACTTCCTCAGCAGTGTCAACAGTCACTTCCTGTACCCCACCAGAGGGCCCCTGGGGCGCTCAGGAAGAAGTGCTTTCTGCTGATTCTGCTAGTGGAGCCTCGACTGCTGCTGCTTCAGGCTGACTGCTGGGGGGCTTGGAGGGCTGGGTGGGGGTTTTGGGTGGGGCGGGGTGAGGCTGGGCGACCGATATGGAGAGCTGCGGCAGCGGCTGGGCCACCGCCGCCGGCTTAGCCAGGATGAGGTGCGGCGTCTGACGGCCTGCCGTCAGCTGGATGGTGGAGACGGCGGCGGCGGCCTGTTTGGCGGCGACACCGAGCGCCAACTGCGTCGCCACGGGCTTAGCCTGGAAGAGCTGCGCAATCTGGCCCGACGAGTTGGCCTGCATCAGCGTGGCGAGCTGGCTGGCTGGGATGGTGATGATGGTGATCTTCTCCCCCATTTTGGAGCCGTGGGGCAGCATGGTGGGCAGAGCCTGGATGACCAGTTTCGGGGGAGCGCCGGCGGAGGCGTTGGCCACCGTTACCGGGACCCCCGCGGCAGTGGTGAGGATGGAGGAGGAGTTAATCGTCATCTGACCCAGTGAGTTGGTCATGACGAGCGGCATGGCTCGGGTGGACCTGCAGGGAGAAGCACAGGGAGGGTGAATGGTTACACCTCTGCTCAGCTGTGACTGACACAACGCAGTCAGAGAAGCACAGGCGTCATGAAAAGGAAAGGTGGCTGAGTTCCATTTAGCTGCTTCCCTTCCAGGGTCTCTGTACTGTTCTAACTGGGACACTAGACCAGATCAGAAGCATATTTGACATGTGATGTGATGGTTTCACAAAACACTGTGGTCCATAAACTACCATTCAAAAGTTAACATGATCCCTTTCATACGGGCACAGACAGGGAGCAGAGACCTGGTGGTGGCGTTGCTGGGGATGACGGTGATGTAGGTATGTTGAGGCTGCGTGGCAGCGGGAGTGTTGGTGCCCAGGCTGGCTGTGCCGTGCTGGTGATCAGGTAGCTGGCCAGACACCACACCCTCGCTGTCCTCCACCTCGTCTCCGTCCTCCTCGTCATCGATCACTCTGATGTTCTTGGGCATT